TATTTTGTGAAGCTGTCAACGCCGTGAGTGCTGGACTGTTCAATCCAAAGAAGTTTGCATCCTTCCTAGTTCCCATCAGTACCCTTGTTGGCTTGCTCTTTCTTGTTCCATCAGATGGAGCTTCTGCCATTATATGACAGATAAGTATTAATAATTATCCGACGTTTATTGATTGTTTGTATTAACGTCTTGCCACTTGCTCCTGTATGTATTTAAACTACTGTGATGCTGATGCCAAGACTTGCCCCATGATAGTGTTTCATATTGCCTGTATTACTTTTTTTTAAAATGGGACAGTACGCATAAAAAGAGTTGTTTGCATTTCTTATTTAGCTGGCTGATTCCCACTTCCTATCTTCCCGGTCGAAAAAATCCATCCAATTAAGCATAGGACTATGCTCTAGCTTGCAAGTGTTTTTGTTTTTGTTTGCGGTGTGAAGTGTGATGTATTGGGTTGTGCTGAATTGGATAAAAATTTGAATGTAAACAATCGATCATCAATCGTGGTTCCATCCAACGCCCCTATTCCACGGTGCGTATACCAGCTCTTCTCTCACTTCTAAATCAGTGCGATCTGGGAGGCGGAGATGTAGCAGCATATGGAGATGCAGTGCGCGAACAATGTTGATGTTGATGGTCGTGATCATTTTGATGCTGATGTTGTTCCGGATGATGATAGTATTGCTGTGGGTTGTATTGCTGGTAATGAGAGACGATGGATGATTCGTCTGGATGCGGTGGTTCAGTGGCAACTTCCTTATTGTGTTTCATGATTGGTTCTTCTCCTCGGTGATCAGCACCACCATCGACAAAGGCATCGTTCTGAGCTGCACTACTGGTGGGTGCTGTTCCAACAGAGGCAGATGGTGATGCAGTTCGTGATACTGCCGGTGGTCCCGATGGTACTACAGCAGGACCATAATAATGTGGATGAGGAGGATAAGGAGCCGCCGCATGGGCATGAGGACTGTGCTGGTGCTGGTACGCCATGGGATGTCTTTCGGAATCCTCTGGTGGAATCATCATCTTGACATTACAGTAGCTTGTGTAAGCCTCTCGAATGACCGATGTGGGTGAGCCACGCGGAGGAGCAACGGAAGAGGAGGAAGAAGATTCGGTGGGTGGTGATGGACGTGGCAATAAGTGTTCAGGTGCTCGATTTGTGCCGTATGAATATGGTGGTGGTGGATATGGCATTGGTGGTGTTTGATGATGGTGCTGATGATGTTCGACTCGATGTTGATGATGTTGATGCTCATGAGGTGGTGATGCTGATGATTCATGATGCAACGATGGTAGTGACGAGGCAGAAAGACTCCGTCCATCATGAGCAGGGGCGCTCATGGCATCGTGCTCCACCTTTTCCATTGCGTCATTGCCCGGATAATCCCTACTTTGATCGGAAAACGGTGCCCATGGTCGAACGCCATACGGTGCGGAACCTTCCAAATGGTGAGGATAGTTTCGATGATAGTACTCCATGGATGGTGGTGGCAGTGGTGGTGGAGGATGATGATAGGAAGCGGCGTGCGGATACCAAGCTGCATTGGATAATGGGTGGTGGTGAGGATGATGAACAAGGAGACCGTGATGCTGATGTTGATGATGATAGTGATGGGATTGAGCTGATCTCGCCGCATAGTTTTCCGAATCGATACTGACTCTAGTTGGCAAGGCGGAATGCGTGGTCAGCTTGGTTTCCTTAGTCGCCACATTGTCGCAAGAAGGAGAATCAGCAGCAGCAGCAGCAGCATCCTGTTTGGATTTCTTGAACCGATCCTTGGCTGCCTGACGCAAGGCATGCCCCACCTTATCCTTAGCTTTGTCAAGTCCAATAAACATCCATCTACCACTTCCTTTATCGCGCTTGACGAATCCGGTTTTGGAGGGCGAGGCTGCAACAACATTGTCCACAATGCCGTCAATGATTTTCCCCTTTTCAATTTTCGATTTCGCCTTTTTGTATGCGCTCGTGTTGATGACAATGATTTCCCTCAGGCGTTTGTTGCCAGCTGAGATGATATAGGCAAGGTGATGATGATAGAAAGAGAGTTGTGGATGAGAAGCTGATGAAGCTCGCGTCAACAAAAATCACAAAATGACAACAACAATGATGATGATGATGACGATGATGATGCACAATAAATGAAAGCACACTACTATTAGACCCACCTGATGTAAAGTTCTGGCGCGCCCAGCTGCAAACTACATCGTATTCAGAAGGACAAAAGTCTTCTGGAAGCTCAAAGGACAATTTGGACAGCGCCCTTCTTGCCATCCTAACTGTTTTGCTGAATGCCAACAGTAATCGGTAGATGTGATTCGAATAAAAACCTGAGGCAAAGATGTGGATTGAAATTCACAGTGCCTGGCCGGCGCCGAGCATTCCCGATCCGCCGTCCGCCGCGAATAATTACTGTTACCGTGCAAAATGACACGTGCAAAAGGTCTGTTTAGCTTCGGACAAATGACTCTCCCGCCCATCCACTTAGAGCCGTTGAAACTTCCATTTGTCAGGCCGTCGAGAAAGTGCAATGCGTAACGGCTGAATACTGTCCGATTGGAATCTCTCGGCATCAGATTTATGGTAAATAAGCTGTATTTTGGTGCAGTACCAGTAGTAGTTTGAACAGAGTATTATGCTGCCGAATCTTATTGTTATAGTTGATGATCTCATGAGTCAGTCTACCGCTCTTGGACCATACTGATAGCAAAATGATATACTGAAGCCATGAACTTCGTTTTGTATGCTGATCTTCTTTCGGCAACTGCTAGCCGCTGATGTTATAAACATGATCATCCTCATCAATCATTTCCGCTGCTTCCCGTCGTGATGATGCTCCTCGTTGTCCTGGCAATCATACAGCATCGTACTGTTGTCAAGACAGACCGATTGCTGATCTTTTGGATGCAGTTTCAAGTTGACCAATTACCACATGCATTAGCCATCGCCGTTCTCCAACAGGAAAACAAGACCTTGACTGAATGACGCACGAGGCGAGTATGCATACACGCAAGAAGAAGAATCAACTCGTGGAGCGAACATTGAACATATCATCTACAAATCCGCATTGTTCTTTCACCAAGAGTCGTTTCAAAAGATGGTATCTATCAAAGTGGGCTTTCACAGTGTTGTTTTACCTTGGCTATCGAATTGGTATCCATTGGATACTGATGACGAGCGAGTACTTTGAGAATTTTCTTTTGACATGCTGGCTGGCTATGCGCGAGGCATGATGCACCCATGTACCGGTAGGCTAGGCTAGGCTATGCAACTCAGGAGTACAATAGGACAAACTGTCGATAGTGCTATATTCTTGATTGACTGGTTTGTTCAGTCTGAGGCCGTACACGTGTACTGTAATGGGAGACAAAGTATTCGACGCGGACGAGAGTTCGGCGTGAATCAATCAATCAATCAATCAATTCAACGATGGACGATGAAGCATTGCATCCGTAGGGTACACGCCCAGACTAGTGAAGAAGTCATCGTATGAGTCCAGTCAAATTCATCATTTATGAAACGATACATAATCTGAAGGACCTACCATCATGGATTGATTCTTCAGGACAAGGGAGCGAGGAGGAAGGAACAAGGACGACCGCTGGCTGGTGATATAGTAGATTGAAAATGACGGTTGCCGAAATCTACAAACAAATTCGATAGATTCGATAGTAACATGATAGACTTGTATACAATTTATGTATACTACTTGATATTGAAAACATTCCCTGCTGAAACTATAATGTACTGTAAAGTGCAAACTATATACAATACCAGGTAGTACTGTAGGTTCTATTTTGGAAATTGGACAAGGTTGGACGTACGTCCGTGCGCCCGGAATTCTGAGTGTCTCTCCGCAAAATCAATTATATGCGTACGGTATCATCATATATCATACCTATTACCCTTTTTTGTGTGTCATACCCAAGCGAAACCAACGAGTCGACATCACTAAACCACCAAACAACAAGAGAAACCCCCCTGAAACATGTCTTACGCTCCAGTTTCAACGCTAGAGGATGGAATGGCGGCACAATCATCTTCATCCTCTTCCATTCGTCCGTTGAATTTTAGATCACCCATGTTACTACAAGGACAACAAAATGATCATAATAATAATAACAATAACTTGGCAGAATCCCTGAATCAGTCGGCAGCAAATACAACCATCTTCACATCCTCCTTTCGACACATCCCGGAAGCGAGCCAACTTCAATGGATGGATGATTTTTATCAGGGAAAGCCAGGAATTGTAGCAGTCTTTGATCGCAATGGACATTTGGCTGGAAACTTTCAGTTTTGGCATTTTCTGAGGATTACTGCTCTGCTGGTTGTGCTGGCTATTGTGTATTATTTCATGGGAGTATGGGTTGCCAAGACACAGCAAGATGAAGACTTGGTGATATTGGATGACGTCCAATCCTTTTACTTCTTGTTGATTGCTGCTCTCTTTGTGGCCATGGCCTATCGTGCCGATCTGCAACAACGAGAACAGCACGTGGCCATCACTACCGAAGGGATTCGGATCGATCAAGGAATGGCCATGACTGTCATAATCCCCTTTGAAACCATTCACAGCTGTGAGGCTCACTTGACAACAAAGTACCTGTGTGGTCACATGGAGCGATCAGACCTGACGCAAGTACAGGTAGTACGATCATTGGCACCAATGGAACAGATTGGTTTTCGCAAAACTCGATCGTTTCTAGTTTATGGCCTCGCACGGCCCCAAGAGTTTGTTGCCTTAGTCGAGGCATTCAAGACTTCTCAGCAACATGGATCTTATGAAGGAGGAACCGAACTGACGACATCGTCGTATCGTCAGAGTCCACAAGAAGGGTTGTCATCATCAGAAGGGCAATTTCATCATCACCATCATCCTCATCATCAAGTTCCACCACAACAACAGCAGCAACATCAAGTGCCACAGTTTGCTCAACCTTCGCCGCCTACTTTGGAGCAGCCTCAGTTCCAGCCTCAGCATCCATACGCGCAACAGTCACAAATCGTTCATGACGACTCAGACATTGTTACAGCCATCTAACATAATAACTATCAATAAATAAAAGTAACTAACTATAATGGCAATATTTCGCCATAACTCGCAGATCATCCAGATAATCATACAACACCTACGTATAGCATATGGCATATGGCATACAGTAAGAAGCAGAAAGCTGCAATTGTGATTACAAAATTTCAAGATGCCTTATTTCGCTACTCGGATTGGTATTGCACACAAAAAAGTCATCCAGCATGGTACCGTTGGTTCATTGAGCACGGCAGTACTGACCATAACATTCAATCCAATTCAGTCTAGGCAATCACTTGTATCTTCGAGACACACATATACCTGTAGGAATGAATCGCAATGAAACTAAAAGCCAAGAGACACAAATAAATGTAGTAAATGGTAATAGTTCGAAACTTTAAAATTTACAGTGGTACAATAGTCATTACAAAACAAACCCAAAATTGATCTCCTGTCGCTTGTTTCTCCAGGAGTTGGATTCTATCTCTCGAACTCGCGATCTTCCATGATGGAATCCATTGAGAACTCGCCAGAGTTGAATTCAGAGGAATCGAACTCCAATGCATTCAGATCGACACTGATAATGTCATGGCTGTCCCTTCGGACAGGGCAGCATAGGGTAGAATCCCGGTTATCGGACCACTTGCGTTGGAGTGGTCCAATGGCGGCGGTGGTTCGAGGTGCTTTGTATTCCGAGCCCACAGATCTTCGTAGACGAGATGTCCAGCATCTTCGGTCGGATCGTTCCACACCTGAAGGAATGGCCGAGTCACTTCGTTGAGGACCTCTTGCTCTCATCTGGGCACGTCTGTCATTGTCGTCGCTGTCTGTTTCATCAGGAGATTGATGGTTGGCTTTGGCGGCCATGCGACGGAAAGGATCCGAAGAGCGAAGACTGCGAGCATTGTCATCGACAATCCAGACCTTTTCGTGGTCCATAGCGTGATCGTTCATCAAGTTTTGAATATATGATTGCATGTTAGTGTTGCTTTTGTTGAGGTTTTGAATTTGTGAAAGTGTGAAAACGTGTGGCAAAATAAGAATCAATCAAAATAATAATAAACCAAACTGTGGTCCTGAAACCTTCGTATTTGTGGCTTATTGTCAGTTCGCATTCAGGAGTAAGAAAAATTCCAACTAAAAAAACTTCTTCCATCATGCAATCTGGAAGTTTGTCAAAGATTCAGCTTGCTAAATCTATTAGAATGTCCGTTGTGTTCCGTCCATTAAGTCTATAGTAGACTGAATCTCCTGCTAACGCGACGAATCAAGACGGGAATGTCCAGATGTTCTGTTTGTTAAGTCTTTGGATTCTCCACTGCCTGCGCTCCTCAACACATTTGCGCTTGAACTGAATCTCTCCCTCGCGAAAAGACCCAATCCTCTCGATCAGTAAGAGTAGCAGAGTTGCGAAACCGCACAACTTCGAGAACTACGATAGAAGTTCCGTGGAAGTTCTCCAGCAATTATTGGTCAAAAGGTCACAATTTCCAGGCGGTACACAGTAACACGGGAGGAAATGTCCGAAGAAGTTCGCTTCCGTTATCGTCAAATTTCAAAATATATATATTGTTCCGCACTGCTGTTGTAGGCTAAGTCTTTCTGCGCCAGAACAAACAGTGACGCCACATAAAATCCACACACCTCGCAACAGGAAGTGTTTTTGATCAGTCAATGCCATACCGTACCGTATTATCGTAACCTGTAATGTAAGCAACTGAAGCCAAACGATTGCAATGGAATGAAAGCTGACACAAACTGTGTCAAATATAGGTATAGGTATACATCAATTATCAGAGGCTCACCAGATATACCCGTCCTGGTGATACTATATCTATCATGTTCAGTTGCCAATGAAGAACGTGTTACAATCTGGTCTACGAAACACTGACGCCAAATAGTTACACGCAAGATGAAAAACGAGAATATTATGTTTTGCTTGCTTGCTTGCTTGATTGATTCTGTGCATTTTAGTCAACACTCCAGAAAGCTGTGAACTGATCACATGGACAGTGACCTTTTCATATGATAGACTATGTGGCTGCTGGTATCGCCCATTTTGTCGCTGATGTGTGCACGTGAATTGAATATTTCAGGGCACCGAGATTGAACATCGTCATCACTACATTGCTGTAATGTCCGAAGCCTCTTGGATGTGAGAAGCCGCAGTGCTCTTCTTTTGACGATGATGATACCAGCTATTTATTGTGGATGATGGCGGCGGGGAGGAAGACAAGTCGGCATCAGCAGTATCACCATCAGTGAATGAATCCTCGTCTTCGTCAAACAAGGGAGTGTCTTGAAAAGTATTCCGCCGAGTAGGAACTTTGAGCCTGGTATCTTTGTATTTTGTGGGGTCCACGTTGTTGTTGATGCCCTGTTCGTCTGGTTGCCTGAGAGAATGGTTTGTAAACTCGAGGCTTTTGTGTTGTCGCTGCTGCTGTTCGCTGATACTTGTGGTACTAGCAACACCAGCAACAGCATCGCCATCGTCCCACTTGAACTCTTCGCTCATTTCGCCACTCGTCCTACGAACAGGAATGGTAAGCTCATGAGAACCGCTGAATTCTTCCCAATCTCGGGACTGATGCAATTTCTGATGACTCCAACTGTTACGTCGAATCATGCCCTTTTTTGCAAAGTCTCCTCCTCCTCCTCCTTCTTTGGACCCAGCAGTAAAAGTGCCACTAGTTGCTAGTAGGAGCTCCATGGCTCGCTTTCGGAGAGTGTCTTGCATATTCTTACTATCACTAATGCTTCGGCGAATGGATTGTTTGGCAAATGGAATCATCTTATTCTTGGCAGATGTCGAAGAACTTTCCTTTGATTTCTTTTTCTGAACAGATGATTCGTTCTTTTTCTTCTTGAACAGCTTATCATTTGGTAACTTTTTGTTATTGTTTCTCTGCCGGCTTGATGGTGATGGTTCCTGGTTTTCCCATCGTGATATTCCCGTATTGTCTTGCGGTTCCATCATCCCATCGATACTAGCATTCGTCAGTTTTGCTGCCCAGTTATCATTATCTTGTTGCTGCAGCAGAAACAGCATGGACGAGGACGAATCATTCGTTAGAACCTTGGCATTATCCTGAACAACTTTAACATCGCGGGCAAAGGTGTGATGTTCCTGCAACAGTTCGTGAAGATACGATTGCATAATAAGAAATGCTGTTATGAATATATCTGTGTATATGTATTCTAGGATGCGATCTAGAATCCAAGAATACCTGTGTCAAGAATAATAAAATGCCAATGCTGCTTTAGAATGCTGATGATATACAATAAGGCTGATGCGAATGGTTTTCATTTGACATGTTGCTGTATACTCAACGGTACCAGTGAAGAAGAACTTTCCGCAGGTTTCTGATGCGATAAATGTGCAGATCATGATGATCATTCCCAATTATAGAAACCACAATCCCGTTCTCGATTGATGATTGACTTCACAATAATTGAAAATTACATTTATTCGCTTTGTCCGTTTCTAAAGCCACCTCTTGCATTTACGAACGTTTCTCTTTTATTATGTAATTTTATTATAATTTCGACACTAGGATAAGTCGTGTCCGCGAGCGTTCTGAGCAGTTTTAGTACTATACGGAGACTCATAAGACTTTTGCTACGTCAGCATCCGGTCATAATGCCTCGTTTTAGTTAAATACAATCAACACTGGGAAAAATGGCAATCGCTATTTTTCGCACGCAGACCTTCAAGCTCAGGCGGCACGGTCTTGAAAACGTGTGTTTGTATTAGCGTAGGTACGAATACTCAGCTCTGCCTTGAGTAAACCTGAAGAGACAGCGCACTTTACCTTCTGGGGCATCTTGTAGTGGTTTATCTCTTGTTCGCTTTTTGACGGCTATCCATTAGTTGTGTGACTTTGCAATGACAGCAGAAGCTTCATCCTCAGGGGATGATGATGCTGATCAGCTCAATAAGTCGAGCAGGCACTCCAAAAAGGAACGAATAGAGAGTGATGATGAAAGCATGGACGAGGGAACTGAAAAGCCAAAGAAGGTGAAAAAGAAAAAGAAGAAGGTTACCAAAAAAGATGCTGAAGCCGGGGGTGAAGTTAAGAAGAAGAAGAAAAAGAAGAAGAAACCTGCTGAAGCCGTGGCCAATGCGGAAGCTGAAGCAGCTATAGACAATGCCGAGGCTGAAGTTGGAGCTGAAGCTGAGGCTGTTATAGTGAATGCTGCTGAAGCACAGGTCTCGCCTTCTGTCTCCCCGTCCTCCGCAGATGGTGATCTTATGCCACTGAGAATGCCAGTTAGACGGCAAAGTCAAGGCAACATTGATCTTATAGACGGTTCAGATGCAGGATCGGAAGAGGACGTTGATGCTGATGATGTTACTGCCAAAACGTCTGGACAAGGTAACAGAAGAGCGAATTCCACTGGAACCTATGACAAACAAGCGCATGTACAGTTCTTGAAAGCTCAAAAACAAAAGGGTCGAGCTGCAATGTCATCCGGATCTTCAGGCTCGTACTCCGACAACAATAATGATTCCGATTCAGGATCCAATCGTGATCAATCTCCACGTCAACCTCAATCTCGTTCTAGCGGTAATAGACCAGTACGAACCAGGCGAGATCCCAACCAGGCGAGATACAAATCCAACTCCTTGGGAGCGCTGGACAAGAAGAAACAGCAAATGCTATTAAGAAAAAAGCAATCCATACGAATACCTGCTGCTTCTAGGCAAAACATGAGGTACATGTCCAGTGATGATGAAGATGATCTTTCGGATGCTTCGAATGGATCGGATAACGAAGGACAAATGGCACTAGGTGGTGACGACATTCCCACTATGCCCTCTCGAGATCGGGCACCTCGTCCAGCTAGGGCAAGGAGACCTGGGGGGCAAAAGTTCAGATCTACTTCCGCTGGAGTATTGGACAAGAATGTCCGAGATCGATTCTTAAAAAAGTTGGGCGATGAAGAAGATGATGGTGGAGAAAGAAATAATAGCGATGGTGGCACATCGGACGAAGGTGAAGTAGAGGATGAACGGCCCAGACGTCCACAACGAGTAAGGCGGGGATCCAACCAACAACGCTTCCGATCCACCTCCGCAGGAGTCCTGGACAAGAAAAAGAGAGATGTGTACAACGCCAAGAATTCACCTCCGACCGGCGCCAATTTCATAAAGCCCCGAAAGCGATCAGTTGGTGCCATCAAGGCCAAGGAAACGGTGGAACGATCCATGGCAGAGTCGTCTTTGCATCAAGCGCAGCCCAATATCCGAGTAGCTCTACCACGATTGCGTTCCTATGGTGCCTTGAATGCGAGAGGAAGCGGGAGTACCACGAGTCGACGCAGCAGTCGAGATCGATCCGTTGTAAATGGTAGTGATTCGGATGCCAGTTCGGATTCACAGGAAGATCGAATGGTCCAATCGGAACGACTTTTGCGGACAGATTGGGTGGATGACAAGGGCGGTGACGATGACGACGACGATGATGATTCTAGTTCAGATGGCTCGGCAGAATCGGAAGTCATTTTAGTGGAATCGGCCGCGTTGCCAAAATCCTTTCGGCCGAGCCGGAAATGGGCGGATGCTAGCAAGGAACTTGATCAATTGCCAAGTGTGACACGCACTTCGTCGGCGCAGAGCCTACCGGGAAACAGTAACAAGAAACCCGCAGAAAAAGTTCTTCCAGCATCAGCATCAGCGGACACCTCTGTGGTGACCGAAGAAGAACAACAAGACGTATGGATGGAAACCTTGAATAATGGTGGTGGAAAGATGAAGAAAAAGAAGAAGAAGTCGAAAAAGGATGGTATGGACAGCTCGGCTCACAAGAAGAAGACAAAGAAAAAAGACAAGCCACGAAAGAGCTCGGCACCAGGCTTGGAGTCGGGATCGTATCATTAGGAATTGAATTGTGTGAGAAATGGGTTACACTTGGATTCGTTCAACGATTCTTCTCGAGGCGTGAGAAAGACTTCCGGAGAACAAATGATTTGAAATATAAACATAATTCAAACCAAGAAATAGAGGAGCACTATGATCATCTTGAATAAAAGATCCAATCGATGTGCTGGCTAACAATAGTAAAAGTAAACCAATTTTAATTTGGAGTAATGCTCCAAAATTAGAGCATACGAAGAATGACGTGTATCTAGAATGGCCGAGATCGTAGTTGTCGCCAAACGCATCTCCATCATGAACCTTTGGACAAATTTCTTCAGTTTCATAGGCTGGTCGGATGATTGAAACGTGTGGAATGAGCTGTTTACAAGTCCTGGCTCCGAACCAAGACTTGCGTGCCAAAATCAGTCTCAATGGTAGAGTCTTTCACTTATGCCTGATGCGAACGAAGAACGCGGCTAATAATTAGGGGCCACCAAAAAAAGACATTTTTTGAGGTACGAAAAATGAAGCGGCAAGCGTTGGTCGACCGTTTTAGATGCATACATAGGGAAAATATCTCGCATATGCGAGTATGGAGGGTTCGACTGGATCAAATTCGAGCCGCTGGCTGCAAAAACGTACGGAAGTTCCTTGTCACACGGTTGAAAGAAGTGGGACTTCAGTACCGCGATGTGACTTGCTGAGGTCACCCAATCAATCGTTCTTTTCCTTCTCACTTCTGAATCGGAATTGAGAAGAGTGATAGTCATACACACTCATTGACTTCATTCCAACTCTTCACCCACCAAATCACCATTCGCACCTCTGTTAGTCCGTAGACGCAAAGAACTTGTTGCAAACTTTCCATATCCACATTCTTCAACTCTCTCCAATCAATCAATCAATCAATCAAATCAAATCAAATCAAATCAAATCAATCAGAAGAATCTTCCAAAGAATTCCGACAAAAATACAAAATAATGAGCAGCGTAATGAACTTTCATGACAATAGTACTGGGGGCATGCCACCCGATCATCATTACTCCAATCACCATGACTCGTCATCAGACGACGGTGACTTCTTTGATGACCATCCAGTCATAGAAGCCTTCGTCTGCTATGGTTGGCTGTTTCTGATGTTCTATTGCCTTCTTTGCCGAAATAAGCGGGAACCACCATCTACTGAGGTAGGAGACCGCATCCGTGCTCGAGCAAGAGAGAACCAAGAAAGAATAGAACAGAAAAAAGTTAAGGAAGGGCAATCGCCAGAGCTCCGCAAACGCGTAGTAGATGAGAACATGATCACCAAGGTAGTCTTGTCAAAGGATTCTCAAGGGAATCTGACTCTTGGTAACAAAAAGTCAAGCGTCGAAGATTGCCAGGAAACCTCTATAGATGATGTTGAAGCACAAAAAGGTGATAATAACAGCAAGGACATTACCCATCTTGAAGCCGATGACGAAGAAGGTCTTACCTGCGTCATCTGTTTGGATTGTTTCGAACCTGATGATTTGGTATCTTGGACCAAACACGACCCAACTTGCACTCATGTCTTTCACGACGAATGCATCCGTCAATGGTTGGAAGAAAGGCGACAGGACGAATGTCCTTCCTGTCGATGCCACTTGGTTCCTCCTCCGGAAGTTCCAAAAACCAAGTCGCTTGACGAAGAAAGTGACGATACTGACGAAGAGGAAGAAGTGTCAGAATCTGATACTGGTTCTTCTGGAAATTCCAGTGAACAGCCCAAGGAGGATGCCGATTCAGCTCTCTTTGTCATGATTAGTGGTTTACTGAGCCGGGCATCAACAACAGTTTCATCATCATCAACGACGCGAAGACCTGCATCGGCGCCAGCCTCAGGAGAATATAACTTGGTATCGGTCAACTCTGGCAGTTTTGATAGCCAAGATGCTCCTGGACGAGTCCAAGATGCTGAAGATCGAACCCAGCAGGGGCCACTCGATGAGGAATCTCCCTCGCCTTCTCCTTCGTCATCATCAGAAGAAGATGACAATGATGAAGCATTCAACCAAGCACATTCGTCGAGCACCTCTGGTGCTTCGGTTGCCACCATGTCCGTCAGCGAAGCCCTTCGCCAAAGTGAAGCTATGGAGGATGAGGATGACGACGATAACGAAGTCATGGATGGGGCAATGGAGCTAGGAATGCAACATGCCGTTACCAACATTACGTTTTCGCCCTGAAAATAGGATGCATGGCTGAGTGATACTTCTCGCAACACCAAAGCAAAGACAACTTGTCCCAACTGTATAAATTCTCTACTGTAAACATTGCATAATACATCTATGATATACACACATTCATATCAATACATAATGTAATCGAACGAAACAGTCCAAGAAGTGCTACTCTGGCAATCAATGATACAATTTCTTGGTTTGGATCTTCTCTGAAACAACAGACAAAATTGAATACCGTAGGATGGAAACAAATGAATGAATCAATCCATGCAAATGGGCAAACCTTATTTGTTTGTATTTGGTGCTCGTACGTCTCAGTTTCACCGAGACTCATCATACCGTCGTAGTCCACAAAAGAATCAATCATTGTGCAGTCCATCAGTCATTTACTTCCTCTTCTATTGTAGTAGGTGTAAATAAGCACCAAGTTTTTATCAACCCGTGCACTACCGGTGTACGGTAGAATCATTGCAAAGCTGTTTCCTGGTCTTCGCATATTACCGCATATATATACCAACACCCTAACTGCAATCGATTTGCAATACAGGGGCCCTAACCCACATATTGAATATTGCATATACCCCGGTAAAAACTGTATACGGTACGCTATACTGTAGCTTCGCACTTTCTGTCTCCCAATACCGTTTTTGCGTACACGGCCTGAGCATTATTCTGCATGTATAAAATATTTATATGATGGAAAACGAGAAGCCGAATTTGAACACTTTCGCACTCGTGTCATAAATAAGTTTGGACGAATGAACACCGGACCGATAAATGGAGGAAAGAAGGGGACATTTTTAAAATGGACACGTACGCAGAAAAAGTACTTGTAGGGTTTTATTCAAGAGAAACGGGACGAAAATATGGCGGAACATATTAAATGATAGAGGTTTATGAATAATATATATACTGTAGTTGTATGAATTTTGTGATATCGAGACAATAATAATAATCATCATCCCGCATGTTATAATTCTTCAAATACTCTCACCCTAAGCAAAGCCACAACACAACTCACAACTGTAATAAGACCATAACATGGATACAAATATGATCCACCTTCCGGGCATAAGGATTGCACAAATACTGACAGTAGTGACGGACGGTGAAAACGATCTGCCGTCTCAATTCGGTGATGATGACGCTCTCCTGTCCATTGCGGGTACCGATGCTGACTTCTCCCATGTTCGAAGTGCTCCTCCCTCAACGGGGACAGGACCAGTTTCAGAAACTAGTTCGCTAAACTCTGGTTTTAAGACTTTAAAGACTTCCGAATTACGGCGGAAACGGACTTTAGACAACGCTATGCGAAAGTATCAGGTGGAAGATTCATCTCAGCATTCTTCCGAAACTCTAAAGTTTGCTACGGCAGGGCTGATTGGCCGAGAACAGGAAACATCCTTACTAAAAGGGTCGTTTCATCGATTAAAAGCCAACACCGACACGACCGGCACAACCGATTCTGAGCCGAGAAAAGAGTTGGTCTTGCTAGGAGGTACATCAGGAGTTGGCAAATCATCTATTGCCAAAGACTTGAAGGTATCCATGGAACGAGAAAAGGTTGGATACTTTGTAGAAGGAAAGTTTGATATGAATACGAGGGATGAACCATATTCAGGTGTCTGTGATGCTCTCGGGATCATATGTCACCACATTATTGAACGAAATCAGCCCGATTCGGTTGCTATTGTCAGAGGGGAACTGGAACAAAAGTTGGGGGAAGAATCCTCCTTGCTTTGTCATCTTATTCCCGAATTGAAAGGTATCATGTACGACCAGCCACAAGAGCCGTCTGATACAACAGGAGGTGCTGTTCATTTAGATGTGGAAGAACTGGAGAACGGACTGGATCGATTGCGATACGCTTTTCGAATACTGATACGAGCCCTGAGTGCGGAATTTGCTCCCCTCGTCCTCCTGTTAGATGATTTGCAATGGGCGGATGTATCGTCTCTACAAGTTCTGGACTTTGTAATATCCGATACCCAAAATCCTAATCCAATCATGATTCTTGGATGCTATCGGTCAGATGAAGTGGATGAGAACAGTCTGCTTTACAACAAGATCCAATCCTTACGCGACAAAAGTTCTAGATTTGCCTTTGCCATGACGGAAATCACAGTTGAACCCTTCTCGGCCATTGAAGTCGAAAAGATAATTATCATGGCCGTTGGTTCGCATAGCAGCGAAGAGACACTGAAACTTTCAGAAGTATGCGTCAAGCGAACTCTTGGCAATCCATTCTTTGTTTTGGAATTCTTGAAAATGCTTCGGAATGAAGGTTTGATTGCCTACAACGAACCATCGCAGAAATGGACTTGGGATCTAGAGAGGATCGAAGATGCGACAATGTCGACCGCCAATGTGGTGGTATTGCTGCAAGAACGAATGAGAAAACTGAGTGGCCAAATGCAAGCCTTTTTGCAATATGCAGCACATCTCGGATCTTCCTTTAGCGAAGAAACGATAAAAATAATATGGCAGACTTACGGACGAAGAGTGGCGGAGGGCGAGATGGAAGCAGTACCGAAATTGTTGCAGTTGGTGGTGGATGGCAATTATTTGGAAAAGTTGGACGCAACACACTACCGATGGGTACATGACAAGGTGCAAGAAGCGGCCTTGTATTTGGCTGGGACTCTGCGGGAAGCTCATCATCTAGACATTGGAACATCCTTGTATTATTGCTTGGAAGCGAAACAGCTCGAAGAAGATCTTTTCAATGTGGTCGATCTTATCAACAAAGGCAACATCAGAAAGCGACCCGAATTTGCTAGCGTCAACTTGCGAGCCGCCGAGAAAGCAAGAGGGATCTCTGCATTCGCAGCGGCAGCCAAGTACGCAGCACATGGCATCGAGCTGCTAAAAGACACCCGGTGGTCACAGAATCGTCAACTGACACTCCGACTTTACACCATTGGAGCGGAAATGGAGCGAGTATTGGGAAACGTGGCAGTGGCGGAAAGGTACAGCTCGGAAGTTTTGAGTCGGCCGGAATTGGACAAGTTGCAAACCCTTCCCTTGAAACTAGGAAGAGCGAGCACACTCTCCACCGTCCAGTTGAAATTTGAAGAAACAGTTTCTTATTGTTTGGACGTACTGAAAGAGCTGGGATGCAAATTATTCGTTTCTCGCAAGCTCTTGGCATCACAAGCAATCATAACCCTTATTCGAACGATACGACGAGTAAAAAATTTGCCCCTGGATTACTTTGACAAAGCCAAGACGATGGATGACGAGAAGCAGAAGGGTATTTCTGCATTGGTCGCAAGGATGTTAATCGCAGCCTATCTTTCTGGCGATATCATGCTTGCAATTCTAAGCGCTTGCAAGCTCGTGGAAATTTCATTACATCATGGTATCAACGAATTCTCCGCGAAAAGTATTACGACTTTAGCAATTGCAACGATCGTTGTCCAGCAGGACTTCAAAGCGGCGACAAAATTCAACGATATGGCACTCGGTCTTGTAAAAAAACACCGCCGAATGCACAATGGCGAGACTATGTTCAATGTGTACAATCATGGGCATATATGGGTGAAGCCAATGGACTCTTGCCTACCTGCTGTGTGGGATGCCTACCAATTTTCGACTCGATCTGGAGACGTTGAGTATGCGGGCTGGAACCTCGTACTACACCAGATCCTTCTACCATTCTACTTTGGGAAGCCTTTGCCGCAAATTCTGACGAAGTGCCCAGCAGTTATGCATCAATTGGAAGAAGCAGCGCAATCACAGCAAATATTGATCCACAAGATCATCTGGCAGACAATGGCGAATTTACATGATTCTTCATGCCGAGAGCCAGGAAAATTAGAAGGAGAAATCTTCAGCGAAACTAAGAATACTGGAAAGGATAACCTTCACATCGCAACGGTGCTTCTGGCTAAAGGCGAATTGCTCCTATTTCATGGCGATTATAGTTGCGCGGCCGACAGGGCAATTGAACATGGCGATCTGTATCAAAAGATGATTCCAGCTAACTTTGCCAACATTTTCGAAACGTTTCATCGAGCGCTTGCCTTGTACACAATGGCTCTTCGAACACGCAAGAAGAAATACAAGAAAGAGGCTCTAAGGCTGCGGCGTATGATAAAAAGGTGGGTTGTTGCAATTGAAAACCCCGAATTCAACTACTTCAAGACGATCCTCGACGCGGAGCAGTTTGCGATGGAGAAGAAGCATGAAAAAGCAGAAAGGCACTACGACGAAGCAATCAAATCAGCGACATCCCGTGGGCACCTCCACCATGCTGGTTTGTTTCGGGAGCGATATGCCGAATATCTCTTGCGTGAACCTGCAAATCGAGGGAGATGCAACGAGCAACTAAAGGAAGCCATAGCCTTTTACAAGCAGTGGGGTGCGGATGGCAAAGTCAAGACACTCGAATCCAATCTGGTGGTCTTGGGTGTGGAATTGTCAGCTGGCTGACTGACTAACAGTACGAAGTTGTGACCTTCCGAGCGTAACCACTATCGATTCCAAAATTCTGAACATGTGTGTAAAAAACTCGAAACTATACCCACAGTTACAAAACCGATTCAAAACTCCCTAGTAGAAACATACGATAAGTAAATACCGATTCCAAAATCTCAAGCGGAGCCTCACCGATTCCAAAATCTTAGACGGGGACCGTGTGGTACCTAAAAACGAGATTTTTCCGTTTGAACAAAACAAACGACAGATCGAACAAAGGAAGAAGCGAATCTTTTTTGTAACAGCTGACATTCTCATGAATTATTGTTCCCCAGTTGATATTATTCTGACCACTTCCTGTGGTACTAGGTAGGTACACGTACTTCTTGAGGCCCCCCAGTCCCCCCAGTGGGACCTATCAAAAAAATGTATATAGGGAAGAGGTCCAGTGGGACACACCCTTAAGTAAACATTTCCAGGGAATCAAATATTCTCATTCTGCTCGAAAATTTGAAAACCTTCTCCAAATCGAACATGTGATGCGAGAACTAGATGTCAAGACTGACACAATCCAATCACCGCATGAGAATTTTGATGTCAACGGAAACAATGAAATTTACATAGGGAGTTCCAACGGGAGCACCGGACAGCACATAGGTGTCATTCTGACGGAATGATGGCTTGGGGTCCAAAGGTCGTAAGTGAATTCTTCTGCGACTTGGCAGCGACATTTTTAGTTACATGAGTGTCTCTATTGGCCGTAGAGCTACCACTGAATATAGTTTTTCCGGGAAAACCAAATCTGCTTCCAAGAAAGAATTCGTTTTTTTTCAATTCTCCATCACATCATTTTATTCATCACACAATAAAGTGCTACAAACGCCTCATTTTCAATATCAACATGATGCTTGCACAAGAAAGACCCTACAGATCACCAAGGAGCCCAACCTCCAACCAGGACCGTTCGTGTCATATGATGCCTCCTCCACAACGGAAAATGGGTTCCGAGAGTCTCAATAGCAGAACACTGATGGTCTCGAAGCACGTGCCCCAATCTGTTCTCTTGCCATTGACTTTCGAAGAACCAACGAGGCAGAACTTTCCATGTAACCGCTTTGCCCTTCGGCCTCGCAATGAGGCCTCCTCACAGCAGACTCCATCTGGGCAGACCACAGCCAGGAAGAGTGAATCTCTTCCAGTATTGGTGACACCAAGGTGTCAGAACCTGAACAGAGCGAAAAGGCGTCGTGAAGATGAAAGCGACAGCGACATCGAAGAAGACGAAGAACTATGCAGATTAAACTTTCCAAAGAAGCTGCTGCTGTCCTTTGATTAAGTACTGATTATGTGAGACTCAACTCGTTTTGAGAAAGAGTGAAAGAGTCTCTTGATGTACAATTTTTTCCCTAGTTTTATAAATACATCTTGCATAATACATATAAGCTAATCCATGAAACGAAGATATATACTACTCATTCTGCTCACTATACTGTAGAGGTAAGCACAGCTGTTCAACGCTTGAACGATGAGTTTCGCGGACAACGTGATGTCACACGTGCTCTCATATTATATCGCAAAGCATCATCCGCCTCATCAAAGCTACATCAATCGTGGCGGATACAAGAGACCCGCAAGCTTCTATTCTGTGTGCTTTGCGCTTCCGTTGTGTGTGCACAGCAGAACTGGTGAGGAGTGGTCAACGGTTCAGAACATACCATTCGAGAAATCAAAGCAAGCATGATGGCATTCGAGTGATGGAGCATTGTCGGGAATCCTGCATATGTCACTATTTTTTCAATGGGGCTGGAGCCTGAGTACAGCACATTCATTTCGAAGAAACAATAGCACCCATAGACAGTACTTACTAATAGCCTGAGAAGCCAAGCCGGCTTGTTAGGGCAAAGGTTGCAACAAAAACGATGATTCCTTGTCCATTGATTGGAGGAAGGTCTGGTAGACAACGGATACCCATATTTGAAGTGATGGACGTTAACCGTTTCTGATCAGGAGGAGCATCAAAAGTTTGTCATTTGTGTGGCTTGTGCTCTTGAAATGAATCGCTGTCAGTTCCGAGGTATGTTGAATTCACTTTCGGTCGTGCATTAAATTCACCTTCGGTCGTGCATTAGAAACTCTCCAACTGCTGGCACGATACACAGCTTGAACAAATGTCAATCCAAGGGACTCCAGAGAATTATCCAAAATGGACATAATACCGCCGGTGTATATCACAATATCTTGAATTGCGATTCATCTGAATGCTTTTCGCGTCTAGCTAGCACCCGTAGGTACTAAAACCGAAGCCAACCCGGTTGTTGAAACAAAGGTTGGAATAAAGAACGGCGCACTTGCGGATCATGAATTATATAACTCTCCTATACTGCGCTGGCACAATATGTTGAGGAGGAGGTTGTTTTCCCAGTTCAATTCATTTTAAAAAATCAGATCAGCAATCAAGTACAACATCTTGAATTGCGATGAACCTGAGTCCTGGCTGAGTACCAAGTATTCGCTTCAAACGGATAATAGCGCCCATTGATAGCAACTGGTACTCGTCCAATGTATGTTGCTAATTACTTTCAGATGAGCACTTGTGCTTGACGACGCCAAACAGCACTATAGCATCAATCCAAAGGAACTCCCATGCTTTATAGAATGCATATGGATGCATCTGGTTCAGAATTTACTGAAGCAACAGCTGGACCGTGACAACAATACTCAGCAATGATGCCATTGCATTGGATAAATTCCATATTCTCATCAAAGGCAAATAAGGCCTACTACTAGCCTGAGAAGCCAAACCGGACGTCGTTGGCGCGAAAGTGGTATTGAATAGCGGCACAAATGGAGGTGCGGTCACTTCCACTGTTGGAGCCATACTTGGTACAGATGTCGATGGAAGCATGGTCGGAATTATTGAAGGGGCTTGTGTTGGAGGAATGTTGTCTCTTGAAGGATAAATGTTGAATTGAAGCTGCTGACCTCGTTCACAGTGGCTTGTGTAGTTGCAAAAGAAGGTCGCAGTTGTTATCAAACTCTGACTGCTGCTGCTGCTGCTGCTACTGCCATCTGATAGCGGCAAAGTATAGTTGGCAATGCTGGCACCCGAAGCACCCACAATTGTCGCATTTTGCGTGTCACATCGAAAGGATGACTCGTTGTCGTCGTCGCCTGTTTGAGAGTCAGAACTTGAATGTAAAGACACATAGACATTGTGATTCCCGCTGTAGCGAAACGAAACCACGTCTCCTTGAACCGCTGACCTTGCCGGATACGGGAGGTTGTCAAACGGAATGATCCAAGGATCGATTACAATTACAATTTCAATTTCTTCAGCCGACGCCTGATGGTAGCTGCTGCTGAAGAGACTCACAACCACCAAAACCCAGAATAGGCATACCGGTACCGGTACTAGGCTAAGACGATCATGACATGATACATGCAGTCGGAATAAGACTGCCATTAGTATTATGACCGGATTGGATGTGATGATTGGATATCTTCAATATTATGATGCGTATAGTCCAATGCCAAATGTCTGACAGATTTTTTCTTCAACCAGGTACAGTACACGTACACGTGTACGGTACTACACCTACTATATCTGTACCTCGCTATACTGTACATATAATACCGGTACTATGTGCGAAAATAACCAGATAGCGCGGCGTTTAGCCATTCAAATGAATTCCCCAAGAAACACCCCCATTCCCAAAACCTAATGGATCAATACCGGTAGGTAAATCAATCGCTACTGTAGTTAGTGGTAATCAGTATAATCAGGTGCCTAAAGATTGTCCAAATTCGACTCACTCAACCACCGATAAGAAGAGTATTATAGGATGACTAAACTGGTGATTGATGACGAAGTTCCAAGAATTTCCATCTGGAATCTTGCATGTGGAGGAATACTGCTACCGCCATTTGTCACTTGAGCAACAGCAGTATCGAATGAATGGTGCAAGCGCATGACCCATGACTCAAAAATGCCGAAAGCAGTGCAAATAGGTAAGTGTACCATCTGGGAAAATTACTTGTGTGTGTGCGAATGACCACCACATGATTTCATTCGCATTAACATTCAGCAGGTATTGTTCATA